ATATAATGAATAAAAAAATTTCAACACAATCCACAAAAACCTAACTGAAAAATGCTGAAAAGCAATTTAAGTTTGGTCTAAATATGTACGTATGAGGTCAGAGTAGCACAGCACAGCCGTCAGCTAACTGGAAGTTGGATAGCTTTGTGGTGAAATAAGCATTTCATTGTATTGGAAACGTAGAAAGACCGCCACACACATGTTCATCACACACACAATTGCAAACCCTGCTGACACTTCACTGTGGGCGCATTCTCACCTCAAACCTTTCCATTCACTGACTGACAGGCCAGTGTTTCAAACAGCGGATGTTTTTTGAGGTCATCATTTGTTTGAAAAGGAAACTGAAGGCCTCCGCTGGGCAGGAGAATGCTGCCTTTTCTCGAGGATACCTGAGCTCCTTCTTTGAAGCTGCACCGGTGAGCCACTGTTCAGAGGCTCCGTTTGATGAACTGGTCTCTCATTCAAGCCTTTGCGGATTATTACGCTCGCCAAGTTTACGTATGCCACTTCAGACAAACATTAAAAGGAAGTCATCAGATCTGAGGAACAGTCCTCTGAGTATTTCCTTATTTTGAGGCATAATACACAATCTATACACAAAACATAAACTATCTCTCACAGACACACACACACACTCCAACAGGAAGAGTGTGGGTGTTTAGGAGCAGCTGCATGGAGAGGCATCAGACCCAGCTTCCTCCTGGTGCACCCAGCAGCATCTCTCCTCCCTTTTCTTTCTCTCTCGCTCTCTCTCTCCATCTCCCCATTTCCTACACGTTCAATTATTCTCTTCCATTAAAAATGTCTATGTCAGAGACAGTTAATATCACGCCACCGTCTCGTGTTGGTTCCTCACGAAAGCTAAAGCACGCTCAGTCTGCACCGTTGGCAGAAATGAGCTGGCTGCGGCACGCACACGGAGACATCGGTTTGTGCATGTTGCAACCCAAACGCCGTGTGTGTGTGTGCGTGTGTCCTGTTTTTGTCCTCTTTCCCCATAATGGCGAAACATCAGCACATCGACACTTGAAAGCCCAACAGTTGCACAACATTTTCCTGCTTTCAGCCCTAATCAAGTGCTTGTTGGCAGCGGTGGAACTTTACGCCACTTGCGCAGCTGTGCAAGGTGAGGCTGAGATGACTCAATAAGCAGATGGACATGACTGATAAAAATAAGAAATGAACATCGGAGAGGTGGTTTGGAAATTTTACAGTTACATCAGCTCCTCTGCCGTTAAATGTCATCGTGTGAGATCATCTTTTGAAGTCTCTCCATTATAAAAATGATATGATAAACAGGATACTGAGCATAATGGCAAATGCCGGTTGGTGACATCTCCCAGCACAGGTGCATGTGCCTTAGTTTCTTGGTGTTTCACTTTCCTTTCCAGTTTTCTATTCTTACTCCCAAATGCTATCACCCGCCGTCAATCTGGCCAGTGTTCATGTCACAGACTTTCTTTTAACCCATCTACTCAGCCACTTTTCTGTCAGCAGCAGCACATTGTAACAGAGCCGATGACACTCAGCGGTTATTTCTGTCTTTCCTGTGTTCCGTGCGGTGGTAGCTTTAGCTAGCTAGCATGGCTGACAACACACAGGCTCCCAGGTGCAGAATGTCACAGAGTGGGCCGTCAGCCAGAAAGCCTGTGGGCCAGTTAGCAGTCAACTGGGTCCTGCAGCACGTGCTGCCCTCCACCCCCACCCGCAAGCCCACTCTATTCCCTCAGGAAAAGAGGAACAAGCTTGTGACATTTCCTCTTTAGGAACGAATGAACGCTGTGTACATGTGAACATGTGTGAGCTAATCGCACACATTCACGTTCCTGTTTTTTACATTTATTTCCAGTGACTATTGTAAATCTACTTAACAGATGAACTTTTACTTTTTTTTGTATTATCTTTTTTTACAAATAAGTTTTAACTTATCAACTTCTGCACGGTAGACGTTATGTGTCATGACCTGCCCTTAGAAGGTCAGGCTGGACTGACAGAGCCGAACTCTGCATGCAGGGGCACCAGGGTCTGCCCTCTTCCCCCAGCTCGCCTCCAGGCCACAGATGCACCGACCCAGACAAGGCTGCGCTTCTCTGGGCAACACAGAGACACTGCTGTGCTCTGGTTCCTGGAGCCCTGATGCTCTGATTGAGACCCTGCGCCCCTGCAGGAACCAGAGGGAGGGGAAGGGAGAGTATGGGAGGGGATGCAAACACATCTGGCATCTCCAAAACCCTGAACACAACCTCTCATATTATCACGAGAAACATGCAAAAGGCATGTAAAATGCATGACAATAGTAAAACCGCAAGTGCAGTTGTTGCAAAAGCATACCTAAGGCCAGCCCAATGCCACAATATGTTAAAAAAGTAATGATCTAATAGGAAGGACAGGATGGCACTAACATTTACAAAATGTCAGCAGATGAATTACAAAAGTTTGTGCCATCCTATTCAACTCACCAAAAAGGTTGGTGATAAAATTCCATATATACAGTACATGTAAATATATACTGAAAGCAAAGATAAATGAGAAAGCTGTAAAATAAAGACACCATAGAAAGCATATCAGTGCAGGCAATTTGCGTGGGTGCATGTCTCTGCAAGGTGTCTTGTGTGCTTTTGCGTAGGCGCTGCCGTTTGCATTAGGCGGCACTACAGGACGGAGTTCGAGGTAGTTGTTGAGGTATGTGTTGGTGTGAGTGCGTGTGCACGCGTGGGTATGAGTTCTGGGTACCTCTGGTAAACAACCCACACTTTATTGCTTCCTTCGATTCCACTGCCCCGTCCTATGATACGACATGTTATCACAACCCAGTCCTTTTTCTAAGACCCTCAAGTGAAGGATTCTCACAACCCAGGCTTTTAAGGGAAGCAAACATATAAATAGACAAAAGCTTTTAGGGAGAATAAAAGAACATGCGTGTCCATGTTGGTTTGGTGTGCATGTGAGCTCCCCCCCTCTTTTCAGGGTAACTAAGTATAGGCCAGTGAGAGAGATAGCAGCAGCAAGCGGGAGCGGTATGCTCTTTGTGGCCAGCTGTGGGGCCATTAAAGGCCCATCTGCAGACAATAGGCTCTGTCTGAAGGGCACACACAGCCTGGTTCCTGTCCTGCCTTGCCTCACTGCGTTTGTGTATGGATGCGTATGTTAGAGTACCATGCATTTCCATGCCCCATTTTAATCCATCACAAAAGAATCCACAGACACTGTACACTTACTTGTGCAGCTACTTCTAAATGTCACTCATTCGTACATGTCTATATTAAACCTCGTAACTTCCTTCTTATTATCTTCTTATCACCTTAAGGTGAAGTAACGCTTTGTAACTCTGTAGTGTAGCAGAAACAAGCATCACTTTTCTGTTGGCCATCGACACAGGTGGCGGCGAAACATATCTGTGTGGTTGAAACTTCTTTGCAATCGTCTCTTCGAACCCCAAAAAATGAAGATCACCGTATTAAAAGCCTATCTCTTCTCACTCAGAATGCAAAATATAAGCAGGGACTGGAAAACAGCTTGATGGCCCAACCACATACCACCCAGAGCAGTTCGATCAAGCAAGCCACTGCTTCACATGCCTCGACACACACACACACATACATACGGCTGCTGCATGCAGACACATGCAAAAATATCTGCCCCAATACTAAAATAGGCCTGGGGAGGTTGCACCTGCACCTGTGCCCTGGTCCACACCTACACACAGGTGTCAGGATGTGACACATACACACAGACAGAGAAAAGAAAGATAGAAAAAAGGGAGGGGAAAAAACAAGAGCGGGGTGAATCACACTACTGCGGTCTACCAAAAAGCTTTTTCTAGATATCATCTCTGTATTTTGGAGTCTAACCATAAGTGTGATTTTTCAATTTTAAATAGACTTTCCTGTCTGTGTTTATTTTTTAAAAGTGCTGCACAAAGGGCTTGTGCGCTCGCTCTGTGCTCTGCTGTATGATACACACAGATATAAAGTGTTTAACGGGGCCTTTCTTCTTGATTATGGGTTTGGAAGGAGAGGGGTGTGGGTTTGATGAAAGTGGTTGTCGTATAGCACAAATGAGTCCTTCAAGTTTCTCATTCAGCTATCCAGAGCAAAAATAAGTGATCTATGAATATGTGTCTGAGTCATATCCATTTGTCATTCAGCAGTGTGGTACATCCCTTCTCAAATGGGGCAGAAAAGATGACAGATGATCTATAAAGTAGATGATCTCCATTAAAAAATTATTCATTGGCAGACATATACACAAATTCAAAGCACAACAGAGAAATATTTTTATTGTCCCTGAAGTGAAACAAGACAAAACATACAGGCAGTGCTCAGATTAATCATTTACATTGAGAACAAAAGAATAAGACAGAATTCAAATGAAGCTGCTTTCGGTCTGTTTGCTTGCAATTTTCCTATGGACCAGATTAAAATATTTATTTAAGAAATATGAAAATCCCTGAGTTCTAGCACCGTCACTGGAGTAGGATTGTAGAAATATTCATCCATATGAATTTCTTCCAGTTTATCAACTTCACATGGCAACGTTCTGTAAGTGTAATAACTTGTCAAATTATAGCATCTGGAAGTCAACTATGTATACGTTTTTGAGAAATGTCGCCACCCTGTGGACGTCGCCTGCCAGTGCAGTCAAACATAATTTGCACCAGCTGCACTACAACTTTAAAGTTGAATCATTCATTTTTCTGATAATTTCATGTCTCTGTCCTATTTTTCTTAAAATTACTATTTATAATACATCTTAAGCCTTGAGGAAAACACTTTTAAAAAAACACAATTTTATACTGTTATCTTTATATCATTGCCTCTATATTGTTACAGAAACTGTACATATCTCCCATTTAATGCTTGATTATTGAGGCTCTGAGCAGATTATTTCAGACTAATAATCTGACATTTATTTTACAATTGCCTTCAAATGCAGAAGAAATGCATCAAAGTAAAAAAACAACAACTCTTGCCTTCTTTTTCTCACCACATCCCTCAGAGGTCTTCCTTGATGGCTCCAATGGGACAAGAGGCCCCTGTGCCTTTGAGGCCACAGTAGCCCTTTGGTACCTTCTTCAGATACTGCTGATGATAGTCCTCAGCGTAGTAAAACTGCTGCCCCTCCAGAATCTCGGTTGTGATGGGACCGTAGCCTTTCTTATCCAGCTCCTTTGGGACAAAATGCAAACACGAACCGCTATGGTTAAAACTAAATTGTGAAGCTGGAAAACGAGAGCTGCTCTTTGTCACATAGAGAACACTCAAATGCAAATATCCGTGTGAGAAAAATGCAAGTAATCTTTCCATCCAAACTGCCTCAGACGTGAAATTAATTGGCTGACGATGATGCTAAACTACTCCACGATTGACACCAGTGGGTTTTCGCCACTTAAACACGTACGTGCGCTTTTATGGAGGATACTTCCTGTACACGGATTCCTCATGTGGGTAGTGCAGGCTGCTTCCTCTGTCATAGACAGGGCATAGATAGGTTCTGAACTACTTTCCCCAACTCTTTGAACTTCCTTAAAAACGAACACACCTTTTGAACGCTTGCCTTATTCTGCAGTGTATTAGCTGTGAACCCATCAATGATACAGTGAACAGTCTCTGCTCCTCAACAAGAATGTGGGGTGATGCGGGTGACACCAGGGAGGAACATCTTCTTTTTTCTAGTGAAGCGCGCCTTTGTGGCTCTCTGTGGGACAAAGCATCAAAGAGTATCCGCTCTCTTTGAGAACTCCTTAAGACACTTTCGCACTTTTTTCCTTTTTCTAAACACCACGAGAGGAGCCTTTAAACACACAAAAGCAACACACTCTCTTACAGATGCACGTACACACTCTAAACACTTCTGACAGATGTATCAAAGGTGTACCTGCTGTGCTGAGTGGTTTTCTCTATCTAATAATACGAGCGCTCAGTCCTCTATAGATCACTGCTCCTGGAGCTGACAAAACAACAAGTCTTGGGAGCACTGAGAATGTCTATGGGCAACAAGTAGCTTACATGTAACAATCTACGCCTCAAAATGGTTTGCAGCTCTCGGGAGCATTGCTTTGCGGGGGCGTCAGCTGGGTTCAGCAAGCACTGTGAAAAAGGAGCTGAGTGCATTCAACATGGGCTCAAGCTGTTCTTATCATCCCATATTCTGTCTTTTTGCATAATTGTCAGTAGCATTTGGGATTTTTTTGCTCATCAGGAATTGATGAAATCCCATTTTCATTTTCAGCTAAAACATTTGAAAATGTCCTCTTTAAAAGCTCTCTAAATACACGCGCAGTGCTACATCAGCTGCTTTTGAGTTTAACGTTTTTGTTCCTTATTTTTTTTAAACACGCAGCTTTAATTTTGATGAAGAGCTAATGAGCAGACACATGTTTCAGCCTGTAAAACCACAAGTGCTGTGCAGCTGCTTGTAAGGAGGAACCCACAGAGATTCATCGCCCACCTTTACAACACTGCTAAGCAGCTTTTAGCACATCATTTTGGTTTTATTGGACCTACCTTTACTGTTTTTGTTTTCTCTCTTCATTCTCATTAACCTAACTGCCAGCAGCTACAGAGAGACACGTGGCACTCACACACACACACACACACACACACACACACACACACACACACACACACACACACACACACACACACACACACACACACTGGCGAACAGATTTTTTTCCCTTCAGTTTGTTGCTAATGTGTCTCTGCCGATTTACTGAGAACTCTCCCTATCTTGTAATCATTGGCCAACATTGGTGGGAGACGAATAGAAACCCTTTAACTTTTTTCAAGTAAAAGTCAAATACATTTCTGTAAAATTACTGTTACAAAGTATAAGTTATGCACCAAAAAAAAACAACTAATTCTATTCTTTGATTAGAAACTGTTTGGTTTATGTACTCAGATTAATAAGAATCTGAAGGTTCAATAGATCAAAGAGGGAAAACAGACAGTTTCACCTATAGTGTTAATATTCATTGTATCACAACTGGGTTGTAAAGTTCCACATATCAGCAGCATCTGCGGGGTAAATAATCATAGCTTTTAATATTCTCCAATATATCATAGTTAAGCAGAGCAAGAGCGGAACACCAGAATAAACACGTGTATATCAACATCATAATTTAGAGCTTTTCAGTGAAATTCTGCAAATCCTCATGTGATGTGCTTAACGAAACAACTAAAATCACTGTATTTATAAAACCATATTTTAAGCAATACATGGTGAGGTGCTCTGTACAGTGACGCTGCATTTGTATAAAGTGTAATATTTCACCTTGAAAAACAGTGATGGTGTGTAAAAAAATGAAACGTTCAGACCTCTTTTCCAGTCAAGGACACGTGTAAACAGAGCAGGCACAAAACTGAAAAGTTTTTAACTTATCGCTGGTTATGAAATGAAGACTTTGGCCTACAAATGACCCTAATGTGCAGACAAAGTGCACAGCATGTAGCCCCTGGCCAACCCCTGCCATAGTACTTTTATTTAGTCAACTACGACTAGGACTGGAATCTGAGTTTGAGGAAAGAAATGAAAGCCAAATTTAAATCTAAAAAGAAGGCACGCAAACTTCTTGTTAGCTGTGATATAACCTAAATGCAAGCTTTGCCATTGGCGCCAGCCAGGGAGAATACAAAGATCCCTTCGGATGAGGCATTTCGAGTAACAACTGGAAGAAATCAAACTATAAAATGCCTTGCATCTATAAGGGTAGCGAATATCATTACAAATCTAAATATGGCACAGGTGGGAACCATTTGGGGCTCGATGTTTGAGGCCGAAAAAGAATAAAGGGAATCAGCTGTGCTCTGTTTTTTCTGTGAAATCCAGCGGGGTAGTGTGCCAGTCTGCCCACATGGAGGCAGTGTGGCTCTAGCTGTGCGTGGGGGAGCTGGGGCTGATGCAGTGGAGTCTGTAAATCAAAGCTCGGCGCCCGCAGAGAGGCTGAGGCAGCAGCTGACCTCTAACTCCTCAGCGGCTGCCGCTTCGATGCGAGGGCTCCCAATCTCCCCGTAGGATGGAGCCCGTGCGCGCGGACTAAAGGACAGCCGCTGACACAGAGCCCGCGCGGACAAAGAAACATTTTCCTTGCAGCTGCAAAACGTATACAGTCTGATAAAGAAGAACCAATTTTCCCTGCTTGCGTCCACCAGGACAGTCGACACAAGCGTACAGCTTTATACATCATGGCCTAATTAATCAGTCATCACTGCCAAAGCGCAGTAGCAGGGAGCCCTCCGGGGCAAAGGATGTTTCGAGTGCACATGGAACAATTGTCCAAGGAAAAATCCCAAGGAAAGGTTTGCCATTCTGAGCAAACACACACCTCCACCCTGACACCCCCGCTCCACTCCCTCGCTTTCCATCCAGCCCTCTAAAGCAGTCACAACATGGCAGCCATTTTAGATCTATAAATCAGAATGCATGGCGTCATGCCACCGTGTATAACCTTATGTGGCTTTGCTTCCTCTCTCCAGCTCACACTGCAGCAGCAACACAGGACTGGAGGGAAGAATATGGAAGGTAAAAATTCCAAAGAAAACCTAAACAAATTCTAGCTTTTTTTATGCTTGTGATGATGACATTAAAAATAATGGCCGACCGAAACGGAAATCGCTGTGATTGTGCATAAATTCATACGTGAAATCCCACATTTCACACAGCTACATGCAGAGAACTGTGTCCCCTACTATGAACAAGAGGCTGATCTCTACAACTGTCCAGGGGTGGAGATGAATTGTTTTATTTCGGGGTTGGGGGTCAGACGCAGACTAATTGTGGCTGCGCTGAAAGTGAAATTCAAATAAATATAAGCCCCTCTCAGCGAGGAAAACACGTTTGAGAGTGTGTGTTCAGGGCTGAGCTCACTCAGCCCAGTCAGCCTGTCCTTTCTTCACGCCTGTCGAAAAGACTCCCATGTCAAAGACATGGCTGAATGGGTGCATCTCTCCTCCACCACCTCCTCCTCCTTCTCTCTGACCGGCTCCATCTCCTCTGCTGCTGATTCTCTTGCTTTTCTCCCTCCCGTGCAAGCACAGACCACTTCTCTGCACAACCAAAGACCTCTCCGCTTGCCAGCCAAGCGAGAGAGAGAGCCCCTCGCCACATCGGCAGAGAGGCGACCCCAGGACACAAATAGGACCTGACATCCCGAGAGAGGGGCAGAGGTGGAGGAGGAAGAAAATGTACTCTCTCCTCCTCTCTCCCTTACCCCACAGTCTTGTCTCTGTGTCGCCTTCCCTCACAGGGCCCACGGCTGCAGAGTTCTGGCAAAGAGACGTGCACTGACATAGAGTTTGTGACACCCAATGACTCACGGTGAAGACATTTGAAGAGGGATATGGCCTCAATTTGCTGATTTATGTAATCATCCATGAGTTCACTACTGTTACTGGTGTGTGGCTACGGCTTTTCACCATTTCTCCGCTTCGTCACTTTCTAAAGTTGTATACTTTAAATGCTTTTTTGGGGGATTCTCATATTTAAGTGCTCTATCAGTTCAGGGCTCAGAAGAGCAGTGTCACAACCATTTGCAAAGCTTTTATTCCGGGCCACTGTGGTACCTCACTGCCTTTTTTTCTTGTGATAAAAAAACGGTAGCTTGACTAACATATGAAGATAAAATTATAAAGATATTTTATTTTTCTTAAAGGGTAGTAAATACAGAAATAGTCAACCCGAAGGTTTAGTCAGTAAGTCCTGTCAGCCTGAAGCAGAACTCTTTTGTCTGTGCCGCCGAACACCTCGCGGTGCTCAGTTTGCCCTAAATCGTAATCCTTTCATGTGTTTCGATTTGACGCGTTAAAAAAGAGACGTAAGATTAGAACAATCGTTCTGGCCAATAATTTTCCTCGCAAACTGCAACTTAACTTCCTCCCAGTAGTACGCGGCTATGCCGGAGCGCATTCCGCTCCCCATGTCACCACTGCAGTATTACAGATTATCATTATTGATGACTTACTGGGTGAGCCGCCTTTAATGTAGCGTCAGCTGTAAATAAGATTTTAAATGCATTATATAGCTTTACGGAGTTTATTCCGTAATAATGAAGTAAGCTGATTATACGTTTGAGCGTTAATACGTGCACTGTCAATGAAGCACCATGAGGTAATGTGGCTACGTAGAAAGAGAAAAATATACTGTAAATGTTAAAGCAGGTTCACTCATTATCAAATCTAACGAGGAGTTTTAAGAGAAAGGACCAAATGTGTGTATTTTTCTCCGCTGGGGATTGAGGTCAAACACACATCTGAACTCCAAGTTCACAAAAAGCCCTTCAACATCTTAAAAATGTAAATAGAGTTTTGAGTACCACGGGCATCAATGCTGCTTTTTGTTGAAGCGGCGGTAATAGACACACTGTGGCCCTGCCTGAAAACACATAAAGCACACAGACATGATGCTTGTCGACTGGTCTGCAGCACCGTGCATACCCTCAATGACCTCAGAGAGGGAGCTATGTAAGGACGACAATACAGAATGAGACACACACAGAAATGATGAAAAGTGAAGTGAAGAGGAATAAAATAGATGTTGATGGAATGAAAATGTACTATAGCGTGGTTCTGGAATAAAAAAGAAAAAAAAGAAAATATATATATATATTACAAAGAGAGAAGAGGACGAAATTCTTGCTCACGTGAGGTTGTATGAAGAGCCCTGTATGAAAAACCTTCCTGTACATCACTGTGTCTGTTTGTGTGAGTTCAAAAGGATGAATATTCCCCTTTATAACGCTCTATAAGTACAGTTTTTTCCCCCATGCCCTGCTCTGTTCATCTGTCTTTCCCTCCCTCTGCGCGGGTCAGGCATCCATTTTAGCTGGGCTCTAATCTTCGACGAGCCCTCCTACATTTTGTGAGCGGGGAAGCAAACACTCCTACATTTTGAGACGAGAGAGGATGCACGCACTTCGGTCTCGGAGCGAGGTGCTGTGCTCTCCCGGATTATTTTTTTGCTTTTGCTTTTTTTTTTCCGAGGGCAGACAACAAGTAGCTCTCTATTAGAAAACAAACAAATAAAAAAAAAACCTGTCCTGCGTGCTTGCAAAAAGCCTCAATGTTGAAGTTCTGATGAAGTCAACAACATGGATTGGGTTTTTACCTCTGGCGCCTAAAAAGTTATTAGTGAGCTCCTAACAATTTTCCACCCTCCCGTTCGTGCCCGTCTTTTTCACGGCTACACCGTGAAAAACTTTGATTTGAAAGAAAAGCAGGTCACAAAATAGGAGAGCGAAGGGAACAGTTGGAAGATGAAATCTGACTTTTGAAGACTTTCCAAAATATAAAACGAGAGCTCGTACGACTTGAAGCCTGATCATGAGACTTGCTGAAGCTGTGCCCTGTTTTAGAAACCGACGGGCTTCTCCTCACCACTTCAAACCCAAAATGCTTTTTTCCCCCCTCCACCATCATCGGAACCTCTGCGCACCCCGCCTCTTCATCCCCATTTCAAGCTCATTAAGTTGGGATGCTTTATCAGAGGGCACACTCACCCCTCCAAGGCCCTACATGCATGCATGTGTGAATACACACAATATTCAAGCTGGCTTGATAAAACCTATTGTTCATACACACGCACGCACGCACACACACACTTAGAACCCCCGTTCATCCATTTTTCTCTCCAAACCCCTAACCCATCTCTAAGCCACCCCTTCCCCCACTCTCTTCCTAATCAACTCATCCCATCCCTTCTCTCTCTCTCACCCTCCTCTCAACCCCCGCTCCCCTCGCCCAGCTCTAGGGAGACACTTTTCAGCAGAGAGGGAGGGATGGAGGGAAGGAGAGAAGGGGAAGAGGAGAGATGGGGGAGACAGAGAAAGAGATGCACTCCTCCTCTCTGCTCTGCTGCCACAGCGGCTTGGCTACAGAAGCCTTTGATGTTCTGCAAATTTCAAATTTCATTATAGAGAACCCCCTTCTCCTCTGCTCCCCTCCCGTTTCACTCACGCGCTTAAACAAGCTTTTCTGTCTCACTCTCCCACCTCCCCCAAAACCTCCCCCTCAACGCTGAAGTTAAGAAACTGAAAGCCCTGCAGAAGAGACTCTTCATATGGGTTAATTATTCATTGGGCTGCGCCTGTATATGGTGGATGTATGTCTGTGTGTGTGACTCATGGGCTGGCAGTGGGGTGGAATCTGGGTTTTGTGATGCCTGTCTTAACTCTGGTCGTCTTAGGTCGCCTCCACCCACTCTTTGCGTTGTCACCCTACTGAACACACGTTTGCTTCTGCTGATGCTCTCCCAGGGAGCGCTGGCCTTTTAGGACAAGAAACACAACCTAGCACGCAAAGCCACGCAAACGAGCCCTCCCTGGTCCCGGTGCAGCTGCTTATCCAGGCGTACGTAGGGCTCAGCGTCACTGCGGAGCGGCGACCATTTCAGAGGAGGGAGCTGCCATTTTGGTTCAGCGTGTGTCAGCTGCATCGTGTCCCAGTGGCCCGCTCAGATGAAACTGGGGTGCTGTTAAAGTGGTTGACAGATCCATGGTGTCAGCAGTGTTGGCGAGGAGACAGGGGAAAATGAGTGAGAAGAAAAAAGGAACATTCTGATATCTTGATATTTGTAGAAGGGGGGTTTTCTGAGAGCATCCTGTGGACGGGATTCAGACTTATCTGATGTGGAGGGAACAATAAAGGCCTTTTTTGGCGTTGGAACGGGAACCCTGCGAACCCGTGTCTGTTTTACAAGCTCACGTCACTGTGTTCCACATCCATCTGAGGACATCATAAGAATATCATAAGATGAACCAATCAGAGATGTCAACTGTAAATGTTTAGTCTTGTTTTTTTCCGTAATCTTGAAAGTGTTTGATTATGGTTTAATAATACGAGCACCATAACCGTTTTATTCCAGGAATAAAACAAACAAATAAAGGTTTAATTCAAGGTGTTTGTTTTTTTGGCAACAGGTCAAATGTCATGTCAGTTGTCTAAGGAATCTGCAATTCTGCAGCTGTATATTCAACCAACTAATCTTTAGAATTTAGCTGAACAGACAACATTTGGAGTTAACAAACGCAAAGTCATTTCAGAGCAGGCAGAAGGTGGATGTAGGAGCTGAAGTCATCCTTTGGGCCACCTCCTCTGCATTAATTTAACTTTCTGCATTAATCTAACCTGAGTGCAGAGCTGGTGCCTCAAAATATTTAGCTGAAGTTAAATAACTTCTATATGAGTGACTGCCATTTGATGAGCTTCTATTTACATTTGAAAAATGTGCAGGAAAGTCGAACACTGCGGCATTATTGTGAGAAAAGGGAGCCTATAGCTAAATAAACATACAGTCTAATCACTTGGAAGAGGGGATATGTTCAATCTGAAGTTTAAAAAATGTGGTGGTAAAAGAAATGTATATAATCTGAACTGCGTTACATGTTTATCTCTCTATAGTTTAGATAAAACATACAGTAAACCCATTTGGACTTTCTCACACACAGCTACTCCCGGTAATGTTGATGTTACTGTTTGTGGACAGTTTCGCTGCTCATAAAAAGGGCTTACAAACCTCAGTAGTGTGTGTTCTAGCTTGTGCACATGTGGAGTTGGGTCATGGTCAGTTGATAGCTTGTCAGTGACTGCCCTCTGATTGAGCTTGCCCCATCGTTTGATTTTTTCCTGCCCCTCACCCCTCTGGTCCCAGCTGCCACTCCTCCGTCACCTCTGACCCCAGCCCAAGGCCAAGGTTGGGAGGTTGTTGCCACAGCAACGGGACAGCCCCGCGGTGTGTGACTGCTGACCCCGGGAGCCCAAAGTTTCCATGACAAAGACAATTTGTTCCCCTTTGCCCCTCGATAGCTAGTCCATGAATAGCATTTAGAGGAGAGCAGATAGGCAGAACCAAATAGAAGCTAGGATCAGTGGATGGATTGATGAATGGATGGATGGATGGACGGATGGATGGACAGATGGACTGGAAGAACAAAAGGCTGGCGCGTGTAGCGTTAAAAAGGAAAGCTAAAAAAAGCAGTTAATATGACCTACTGACCCTCTTTTTCTCTTTATACTTATGAAGGAGGGATTGTAGATCTGTATCTAAATAGAGCAGGTTTTGCTTAACTAAACAGCAAAAGAGGGTGACCTTTAAGTGCTGCTTTTTAATTGTCATTTAAATAACTGGGATATCCCCACTATACAGCTCAGTCTCAACGGCTAAAAAGCTTTAATACAATAGTTTTTAGTTCAGAAAAATGTCATTTTGTCCATGATGAGACAGAAACCATTGAAATATAGTAATAAACTGCACAAACACACTTTTTAACTGTATTAAAATGAAACTACAATGACACGTGTCAAGTTATGTCCCATCAATGAACGCAAAAGTTGTTAAAAAGTTGACACTTTTTAACCCTTTGCAAATGGTTTAATTACACAAAAGTCCATTGAAAGTGGATGCAATGATAAAACCTTTTATCTGCGTGTGTGTGTAACATCATACCTGCTGAAAGGCTGCTTTACTCTTCAGTGAAAGTTCCTGTTGAGCCGGGCTGGATGTGTAAATGGCTGAACGATATTGAGTGCCGTGGTCATTCTGCTGCTTCATACCTGCGTGGAACACACATAAGCAGAAACACCACAATCACATCATAAAACAGTATCCAAAAACAAATCGCGAACCCACAAGTTGAATTCATGGAAGCCAAATGAATCAAAACATCTCGGTTTCCATGAGGATGCGCGACTTGTAGGTATAAGGGGACATGTTAATGGTTGCATTTTCTTCTTTTCTGCCATCTTTGTTGCTGCATTTTCATCATCTTTACATCAGTGTGTTTGGAGAGAGCCCACGCCTTGTGTACCTTGATTAGAAGGCCAAACATCTGCTGTGACCTCAATGCTTTTCAGATGCTGCAATCATGAGCAGCTCTGGCATCAATGGATGCATCGGCAGCGGGTCTTTCTGTTGTCGTCTGACAATGTGTCACCCTCAGCGTTTGGTTTCTTGTTTTCACTCAAGAGAATCTTGTCTCTGACGGACAGTGCTGTCCTTTGTGCTTTTTTCGACAGTTGCTTTTCATCCACGTGAATGCCATGTAATCATTTATTTGGTCACATTCTGGCAACTAGTCAGCCAAGCGAGTAATGTGTAAATAAAAAGTGGCCAATTCTGAATCTGGACGTGAATTCAAAACCTTTTTTGTTGCATACTTAACTCCCTAACTTCTCTGTTTAGTTTCTTATTCAGCTATTAATTAATTTTCTGGCTACTTTAGGGCCGAAAAACAAGCCGTAAACACAACAGTCGCTTGTTAATCACCTTATAGAAGCTGATATGCGAACATGCTGGCAAACAGTTGGCTGTTTATACAACAAACGCAGAGCTGCATTGGCATTCATTTGGAGTTGTGTTTGCGACCGTCAAACAAGTCTGAGTTTGAACACTCCTTTTATCGGCTTTGCTATCCACCGACTCCAGCGGGAGATTTCTGGCTTCGCTACGTTCACCAGATAGTTGCTCACAGGCTCGTTCTCATGTGTTGTGCCTGGCAGGTTGAGTACAGTTTTTTTTTTTCAAGCCCACAAGCTTTCTTTCTTTGCCACCATATGCTGTGGCTACAAATGAAGCTGATGAAAGCCACGACAATTAATCCGAACTGCGAAATTCTGCGCTACCAAAGTACAATACAATTTTTTGACTTTGTGATAGATCTTTCACGTTGCACAGAGTGACTGACGGCACAATTTAAGGGAAATGTGATGACCAGGAGAATATATCTGACATATATAAGTGTTTTTATTAGGCAACAGTAGAGGGACACGTTTCCTGGTTATTAATAAAAGGAGCCATCCTGGCACAAAACTGTAGGCAAAGTTGCATTGTGTAGCCTTGTGTTTGTGTCCCATTAATTGGCAGCATTACTAACGTTTTTAGTAAAGACTAGAAGTGTTCAGGCCATGTTACTGGAAGCCTTGGTGGCTTGTATTTGACTAACTAATGCTTTAGAGATTATCGTTACACAATATATCAAAAAGGTAAAAAAATGACTAATTCCACCCACTGTTTCAGACCTTTACACATAATAAGACACCTATGAGATAGTCAAGAAAAAATGTGGCTCATTGAATAATGATTTGAGAATGGCCTAGGTAATAGTAAATGTCATTTTAAAATCTGTATAGCAACATTGCTGCATATCAGGCCTGTTTTGAATATGTGCCTGAAAGCCGTTTGCTTTTAGGCTGACATCAGACTGTAAGTTACCCCATGTTGTAAGACGTCAACGGTTCTATTTACGTCATGTGAGAATAACAATTTCCACTGACAGTGCAGGCAAGACATCTCTCTGACACAATGATCTGCATATCTTGTTCTCTGCAGATTGAACGTTACCTTACATCATGGAGTGTCACAACCTATCTGCAACACGGCCTGTTCAAGCGGAACGGCCATAAGTATTCATTTGGTCTTCATTCAAATCAGAACGGACAAGCAGTCAGCGCCTGCTTTCCGACACACATTGAATAAACTCACAATAACTAATGTTGCCGCCTCAGAGAATTTGCTTGACTGAATATTCTCTTCCACAATATTAAAAGCCAGTGTGATTCAAGCACAATAAAAAAAAAACGGTGTTCGAGGGGGGAAATACTCAACTAAAGGCATGCATACTGTCAGTATTCAAGAGCATTTTTGTAAAATGCTAACTCTAAACACATTTGAAATCTCCCACAGAACACTTTACAAAGCTTATATGACAGTTAACTCTTGAAAATCTGCACAAATAGAAGGGATTTCTTCAGCTGATTACTGGTGCAAATGAAAACTTTAACACAAGCTCAAGGCCTGTCCTCTATAGTATTCTTTTAACAACATGACATCATTACAGCTCTTTGTATAAGTCTCTGATTAAGATTGTAGAGAAGGACATGCTCCTGGGCTCATTCCTCATGCTTGTCTGTTCTACAAATGTGGCAAAGGGCAGACGGTCGGGGGAAAGCTGACAGAGAAAATTAAGCTTTTTAGTGTTTTGTTTTGTTAAAAAAACAGGCAATGTCTGGAAAATCAGGTCTGGTATTTTTCAGAAACTTTTTACTACTTATGAACACTGCATTTATTAACGGGAGAGAATTCAAACTGATTTGTCTCCTCACACCCAGCTTTTCAGAACGCATACAGAAAGTTTCAGGGCATCCGTGCACAAGTGAAAATGGCATTATTTAAAGTATGTAACTTATGTGGGCCAAATAAAGATGTGATGCTATTCTTACAGCTTTTATCTAATTGAAACTGATTGTTTTGAACTTTCTGTTGACTCTGAGGTAAATAATTGCAGAGAAAGAAAACAGCTTGCCTAGCACATGCTCTGCATTTTCATATACCCTTTACTTTAAACCATCAAAGCATCTAAAGTGTAAAAGATAACAACAATGAAACATGTAAATGTATGTGTGTGTATACACATATGCATTCTCAGTTGTCTAAGTTCAGTTCAAGTCATGAAGCTCCTTATGTTTCTGTATTTATTTCTATCCTCATACTTTACTACATCTCTGCAGTGCTGGATGTCGGCCATCTTGCCCCCAGCCTTGTTGTTCAGTGACGGGGCTAATGTGGCCCCGCCATCAAAGGCCACCAAGCAATTGGCTGTCCACCAAAGCCTTTACTCTCATTGGCTGGCTGGCAGGGTTGTTGTAGCTTTCCTGTTGTAGCGACCCTCCACACTGACCTGTGGTACTGACCACCCAAGCCACACACTCACATCTACTCATAGCTATTGAATATGGATTTTCAAGCTCACAAACAAACAAACAAACAAATCATGCATCATGCAAAGAAACCCACTGATGTTTTGTGAAGTTCTTGGTCTGGACTTGTGTGAATTGAATTTTTTTTAAAGCCACTAAAATGATTCCCTCAGAGAAAATGTTTCACGTCTCATCTAATAAGTGAGGAAAACAAAAGTTTCACAAGAAACTGGCAGATACAACAACAACAAAAAAAAAACACCCAGGAGTGGTAGAAAGTGTTTCCAACTAAATTAAGATTGATTTGCTTCTGAGATACAGCTATGAGAGAAGTAGTTACTACGTCATCAAAACATTACCACCATCTGAAATACAAGCCCAACCTTTTTTACTCTAACTCCAAATCTACTCTCATAAGTCATCAGAATTACGATGGCAACAAATACCACCCAAAAAAAGACCAACTCTGGTTCTCGCCTCCCTGCTTCTGTGTCAACTTTCTCGTTCACTCCATTTTTAACAGTCCCCTTCGTTATTTTCTCCATCCATCAAAGGCAGCAGTAATTATTAATGAGAGCCTCCCTGTTCTCTCTGCATTATGCATGAGAGTCTTGCTTCTGAAAGCAGAGGGTAATGGGGGTGGACAGAAGAGGAGGGACAAAGGGTCACACATGCGCACACACATGTGCACGCTGCCTTTAGGGGTCACTGACCTATGCCCACAACGCTGAAAATATTAATTAATTACCTGCCTCTCCCCAAAAGGGGAAATCTTCATGTAGCTCCATTAAAACAAATGGAGGCCACAGAACAGTGGGAGGGTGATGATGGGGCTTTTCAAGTCTCCATGGGAGTAGCTACTATCACTAAGAGACATTCATGCACCAGCCTGAGGACTTAAATGTACACACACTTTTTGTTGTTCTCAAATCTGCTGAGAATTTCTGCAACTCTGTAAAATCTCTTCCAAATTTTCTCTAGAACTGAAAAAAAAACATAATCTCCAATCGGCTTGTCCCTGCTGGCTGTTGGGGATAAAAGCACATCGTTTTCACCTTCTTGCTTCTGGAATTTGAGTTAATTTTAAGAATCTTGTCTTAAGGCCTGCAAACATTTCCTTTTCCAGATTCCATTTGTTTCTCTCTGCACATGTGATAATACTCCATATGCACGTGCGTGTTGAATTGTGAGATGGCTTTACTTGCATATAGTATTTCCTGATCACGAAAAAGAATATAGATTATTTAAAAATTAATCAGTTTTATGCAGGTGTCTAGCAATAATTAGTAAAAAGGCTGGAGAGGAGAAAGAGTTCATTGTAAGGATGTTTTTAAGTGCTTTTGAATCTAAGTGGCAAAGCCATTTCAATTTATTTCAGTCGATCTCTTAATGTTTTCTATATCTAAAGATGCTTGTTACAAGACAATGTTTTTCATCGTCATATTACAACATAATTATACGCAGATGTTTTTTCCATCAATTAATTACATCAATATTATTTCCTTTTTATTCCGTTTTTATAAAAAAATCTTACATGCATGGCTGTTCCATTGTCTGAGTGATGCACCTCAGAGATGTACATGTTACACATGAGCCAGATGCTTTCAAAATCCACAAATCACTTGTAAGTTTGTCAAAGTTGGTTATATTAAGCAGCAGAAATAAAGTGACGATGGCCAACTAAACATACAGAACTTCTTATGCCAGTCACCTTTTATCACTTTTGCCAAGATCATCTGTTTAAAACACACAGGGTAAGGCTCAAGTGTATACTGTAGAATTTCTACAACCATACTCTGGGAAATTATTGCCACAAAGAATGGCTGTAATTTCCATCAAGTGACCAGTTATGATATGAA